GCTCTGCGAAACCCCGTGATTTACCAACCACGTCCGCAGCTCTGACAGTCTGGGAGGGCCCCGTGCCCGTTTCCCGACTCTTCCAACTGTTCAGACACTTCCATTTTCTTTTAGCACCGTCCAGATGTTGCTGCAAAAACAAAGGAAACCCCCCCAAGGGCCCATTTCTTGCCTTCCACACATGATTTCTGTGCAGGGCCGCTCTCCCATCACTGGCTGTGCGGATGTGATCGTGCTGGGTGATGGGAAGGTGGAGATCTGACAATTAAGGATTCAAGGCGCCAGCCTGGTGCCGGGCTGCTTCTGATTCGGAGCCGGGCAGAGCTCTGGAGCCCCTCTGCAGGGGAAGCTTGCCCGGCTTACGAGCCCTAAAACCATCGGTGCTCTCACCAATATCAGTCGGTCTTAAAGGAACTTTCTTCGGGGCTCTCCGCTGTGCTGCTCAGTGCCAGGCACGGTGGCTCAGCCTTCCTCTCTCCTCCTCCTCCTCCTCGACCTGCATTTGGGGATAGAGGAGGAGGTGTTCTGGGTCCTGCCTCGAGCCAGCGCACAGCTGGGGTGTCTCTGGCTCTGCAGGGTGCCCTCCCCTCCTCTACCCTTTAGCAAAAGAAATCAAATCTCGGCTTTTCTCTAACTCTCCAGCTCCCTCTACGCTACACGGGCCCTCTCTCCATCCCCGTGCCCTAAAGGCAGATTCCCTGTTCCTTATCATCCCCGCCAAAACTGTCCCAGCGCCTGCCAGAGCCTCTAACCCGGCTCGCAGGACTTGCTTTGCTGCCGAACCTTTTCCCTCTGCCCTTTCCTTGTCCCCTCAGCTGCTCCATCTCCCCCGCTCCTCCCTCTGTTCCTTTTAAACCAGACTCGGTTCAAATTCAGAGATGGGTTTTTAAATGCGAATCGGCGTCTCAAACACGCCAGAGCGAATCAGAAGGTGAAATTTTTAATCTGACAACCTCTGCCGTCTTAATTTCAGGGCTCCTTCCTTCCCCTCGCCAGAAAAATCTGTATGAGTTAAGTTTTAGCTCTAGCTGCCTGTGCCCGCCGGCGCACCAAGCTTTGTCTGTGCCTAACACGGAGGATTTTGTCGTGGCTTTTACGTTGGCAGCCACCTGAGCAGTCTGAAAACGAGAGCGGCCCGAGCCCCATCCCTCAGTAGGTTCCCCAGCAGCGCGGGGAAAAGCCTCGGCACGAGAGGGCTGGTGCTGGCTCCGTTTTACCCGCTTAATCCCAGCGTTGAGATTAAAGCCCTGCCTTGGTCTCGAGCGCAGCTGCTCAGAGCTGGTTCCCGTACAAGCCATAACAAACTCCGCACCTCGCTCGTGTCTAACTCTTCTCTGCTTAACCGCAAGGGTTGTTCGTTCTCCCTCCCATCCATGCTTTGGACTGACTTAAATCAACCCCCCCCCAGATGCGTTTTCCCCACGTCTGCCCATTACTAACCCGTGTGGTGGTACTAACCCCTGTGAAGCGCTGGGGTAGAAAAGCCGTGGTCCCGGGGCACCGGCTTTGCCAAGCTGCCGCCGGGATGCTCGGCGCAGGGCACCTAAAGCATCCCATAACGCAGGATACCGCTCGCCTACCGGGAAGATGCGTGTGGGTGCCAGGCTGCTGAACTGGGGAAGGGGGGGTTTACGTGCTGTGCTACCTCCCAGCTCGGCTGGGCTTTCCCTAAATACATCAGGTCCTACGGGAGCGGGTGCTTGTCGGGCAGCTCTCCTGCAGTTTTCGGGTCTCTAGCAGCGGTCGGCGTTGCTGTTTGCGAGGCAGCTCCCGCCCCGGGGAGGTCTGACCCTCCGCCTCGGGTGCCTGGGTGCCTCCAGAGCAGAGTCCCAGCTGGATGGGGTGACGCAGCAGAAGCAGCCGGATTTGGGGATCCCTCCGTTCCCCCTCTTTACCTGGGAGCGGGTCGTTTGCAGGCAGACCGGCATCTGGAAGTGCAGCACGGTCCTGCCGTGCAGCTCACGGAGCAGTTGGCGTAGCAGCTCCGCAGTAAAACCGCGGGGGTGATGGTGAGAAGAATGCCGCTCCCCTGCAGCCCTGGTAGGGAGAGAGACTCGCAGCTCGGTCTAAAGGCTTCTGCCGCAGCCCCGGGGTCTGTGCCGAGCCGCGGTGACCTTCCTCTCGGTACAATAGCTCCCGGAACAATGGAGGAACCCCGCCGAGCAGAGCGTAATCTTGCCTGCCTTTGAAATGCTTAGGAAACTCCCAGCCTGTCCCAAAGATGCGGCTGGTGGAAGTCAATCTGCTGTCCCTCTCATGGGAGGCCGGCGGGAGCAGAGGGTCTAACCCTCTCTTGGGCCGAGCAGCGTGCTCGCTAGCCCCGGTCCAGCCCTGGAGTGTCCAGACTCAAGGCTAGGAGCGATTCCAGCTTCCAACGCGTCTCCGCTGCGAGCCGTTTGTGATAACTCACGATGTTTTCCAGCAGGCAGAGGTGTGCCGGTGGGGATCTGCATGTCGCTGAGGTGCACCCAGCGACGGTGGAGTTGTTCCACGAGGACTTTTGTCTTGGGGAAGCCGTTACAGGCGCGGGGATGCTCCTTGGCATCAGTAGGGTGGTTCCGCTCTAGCTCCGACGGTGCCGAGACAGGCGTGGGATAATCTAGCGAGGGCTCGGCGGCAC